TGGTATTTACTTCCAAAGTTCCTGTTTTTTTCTATGAAATTGTGTCTCCTTACACAAAAGGTATGTGAGTCTGGTTCTTGCTTCACTCAATATCGTTGAAAATATTTATTTCTGGCCACGAAAAAAGCAATCTATCTACCTAAATCAGAATGTTCATTTGAGGGAAAACTGCCCTACATAGAAAAATCAGATGTTCCTTGAAGTAGCCCAGAGGGTGGAGTCCATATGCTGCAGTGAGAGTTCCATACTTAGGAGTCTTTGAATTCTGCACTCTGGACTCCTACGGACCAAGATGATCTACTCTGAGGAAGAAAGGTAGTAGCCTTGCACCACAGGACTTTAGCTGACTGATTCTGAGAGCCACCGTCTAACAGCTTGCAAAATTTGGGAAGAAAATCCCCAGAGTGAGATCTGAGGATTGTAAATGGAAAGGGTTAAAAACAGATAATTTCTGGATTCTTGCTGTGATCTTTGTCATAGCAAGTCTGAACACACTGGAGCTTTCATGCTCTGCTAGTGGGATAAAAATAAACTGTTTAACCTTTTAAATGCTGGTAATTTGGAGAGATTTGCCATTTTTAGTTCTAACACATGAGCTTCTGAAAAGCTAGGAGGATAGAAATGGCTAACTAACTAAATTTGGAACCTTAAAAAGGTCAGAGTAAATCTGGTGCAATCCTGTCTTTTTTTTTCTTCTACAGAACGCATGTTACATTCTTTAAAATTGTGAAAAAGATTGTAAAAAGGACAAGTGATGACAAAACTTGAACTGTGAAATATTGTTATAGGGAGGAGATAAAAAGAGAATAAGATGTCTCAGACTGATGATTTTAGTAGATCTTGAAGTTTGATTTTCATAATCTATTGTATCTAGCTTGAGATGGTTGTTTAGACAGTAGGAGGTTTCTTTTTTCTTTTTTCTTTTTTTTTTTTTTTAGCATTCCATGATTTTTCCCATCTTGTAATAATCAGGGAATCATGAATATTGTACACTTCCAGGCCTGCTTCTAAATAGCAAAAATTAGATTCCTCTCCCTTGCCCCCATGTTGGTAACTCATGATACTTCCTAAGGATGTTTTCTTCTCTACTGAAGTCTTCACATGTGAAGAAAATTGCTTTAAAAACCCTGGGCTCTGGAGCAATACGCCAAGTATCTCCACTAGAATCTCCAAGAAGTGAAGCATGCTTTTTGTGCACGATACGTGCTTTTGTTTGGAGTGCATGGAAAGAGACATGATTTCTTTCCTTAAGGATTTATAATGTAATCAGGCAGATCAAACATGAAGAGATGAACGGACTGAAAAATCTCCTCCTGGCAACATGAATAGGAACAGATTTGTTAAAAGAATGCAGGGTAAGGAAGGATCACATTTGGTGTGATCTGTGCTCTGATGGACAGAGGGCGTGGATTAGCTCTCCAGCCTCTTCTCTCACCAAATTCTACCAGGCACGCCATGTACCGAGCGCTTTCGTTTCCTTGAATATACTCACTAGTCTCTCACGCTGTGCTTGTACTCGTGTTGTCACAGTTGCTTCGAATGCTTTCCCTCACATTCTGCCTGTTGAAACTCTACTCCTCAGTCATTTCATTCTGCATGTCTACGCTAGAGCTGATCCTAGTCCAACTTGTGTTGTAGTCACTTGCATATGTGTCTTTCTTTCACACCACACTCTGAGTCTCTGGAAGGTAGGATTGTTCTTTTATTTAGCTTTATTTCTCAGGCACTTAATAGAGTTCAGTACATATTTAGTGAAGTATATGGGATTGAATTATTTGTGAAGGAGAGTAGCAGTAGCTCCACAATGATCCCGGAGGTAGGAGTATGAGAATCTGGGAATCTGTGTATGCCATGCAAAAAATCTGAAGAGGAGGTTATAGGTTCAGTATAAATGCTGGTTTTGAAGGGATCACAGTGGAGATATCCCATACTGTACACATGGGACTCAATAAATTTGAGACTGAGGCTGGGATACAACATAGTTGTTAATGATTAGGGAATATGATCTTCGTTTTCCATGGAAACTTCAAGGTTTTAACTTGAAAAAAAATAGTTTTCTTATATTTGATTTCATGATTCCAGAGGCAAATGGAATACTGTTATGCTGTTTCATTTAAATAGCTTTTCCTAGTCTATGGTGATGGTATTTTAAATAAAATTACTGAGAGACATGAAAGTTAGCTTTTTTTCTGGTGAGATTTGGGCTGTATTTTTTTTGGAAGAGGTAAACATGGAAGAACAAGAGGAAACAAAGAAAAGCAGAGGAACTAGTGCAAGTATGAAATTGAAGTATTGACTTACGTCTGGTTGTTTCCCAGCATTCCTTTCTTGTTTTTTCTGCTTTATCCCTTTTCATATTCAAGACAGCTTCTATCATTAGGTACTAATGGCCCAATGTAACTGAAGGAGTTGCCCAAACTTAGCCTTAAATAACTTTCTTTTAGGAATACTTCCTTGATATTCCTTCAGTGTTATTACAAGATGATTGAACATGAGTAACTGAAAACTTTCTTTCTCTGAAAATAGTGAGTTTCAACAGCGTGATTTCTTAAGTTTCTTTTCCTTCTAATAAAAAAACTCCAGTCCCTCCCTGCTGTCACCTGCACCTTCCTCCCTGAGTCAAAGAATTGCTCTCAAAAACATTTTCTTATCTAGTTGAAAGACTAGGGAAACAGGCCATTCCTCTAGTGGAGATGCTGTTCTCCCTGGGTAAGAGGACACATACCTGACCAATCTTTCTGTATTGGTTGGTCCACTCCCTGAAGCTCTCTGAGCTTCCGGGGAGCTAAGATGATTTTGGCTGCCTTTATGTACTTTACCTAATGAGCTGGCAAACTGGTTTCATCTTAGTGGGTATTCTTTGGACTAACTAAAAAAGGATGATTTAATTACCTTTATTCTTTTTCAAATGAGAGATCTACACGCTGACTATTCCACATGAGTGCTTTTAAATTTTCAATACAGGTCACTCAAATTGCTTTGGTTTCTTATGCATTTGGTGGAAAATCCACTCAGATTCACCTTTTTTAAAAAATGCAATCTTTGGCAGTGCTGAGTTTTTCCACATTTCAAATCAAAGTAAGAAAATGCCTTTGGGATTCCTGGCTTCAGAGAAGAGCTAGGGCACATTCATACAAGAGCCAACATTTCAGTAATGCTAATGAATTTCCCTGACTAGAAATTATTTTTGTGGTAGTAAATATTACTCTCTCATACCTTATTCCAAGGCAGATACCTATTACCAATTTTGAAGACTCATTATCAAAGAAAAAGATTTATTTTGCAACAAAATTGAGTAGGGATGCAGTTGAGGTGATCAGATGGCTCCTGGATTATAGTAAGCCATTATCTGACTGTCTCTTGTAATTCTCCACAATATACACCATTGGAAACATTGTTTAACAGAACATTAACCGCAGTCTTGCTACTGCCAAATGTTCTAGATGCATCCAGGTAGTCTATAATTAATGCACCTGCAGAGTTGCACAAAGAACTTCATACACTGTCCATTTCAGTGGAGAGCGGCTGGAATGGCATCTGCACAACAGGTGCAGTGCAGGACAAGCACAAAAAGGCCAAGTTCTAACTAGAAAGCTTAAACCCTTTCAGTATGGACTGACTAGCTTGAGGTTTCTTTAGAAACGGCAGTATTTTATTCTATGAAAGGGAGTAGGCTGTGGTGAGGGTTAAAAAGAAGATGGGGAACCTAATGCCTGAGCCCCGGTTATATTAGTGGGAAAATTAATAGTATGTGTAAGGAACACTGAGACAAGGAGATTGGGAAACAGGAAAAGGGCACAAGAGAAGGGTGCAAGAGGAGTTTCCCACAAATGATTGCCAGGTTATTCAAATTTGTATTCTGCTAATCTGTATTCAGATCGACCACATACATAAGTTCTCAACGACCATCAGGAAAAAAATATATAACCTCCAATTCCTTACAGATGATATTAGTTTTAATTTTTACACCTAGTCCTTGGATTAGTGGGTTACAAATACAGCCCTTCATGAATTATTTCAGGAGTATTCATTTGAGAAACTTAAGATAATTTTGAAACTCTTTGGCATTCTTCATTTGTATGACATCTACACTGTGTAGGAGCCTTCAAATACATTTCTTTTGTTTAATCCTCACATTAATTCTAAAAAGTAGGCTTGGAGGGTATAATTGGTAATACCATAGGAATAAGAAGGTCTAACAGAGGTCTATGTGAATTCAAAGCCAGTGTTCTCCAATCACAATTGTACCTCTTGCCTTGGTTTCCTAGGTTCTGGCCACATGAGCTCTCCTTTCCTCAGTGCACTGTCCAGCTCATCCCGCCTTGGGCCTGTGTATTTTCTGCTTTCTCTGTTTTGAGCACTTTCCTCTGCTCTTCAGATGTCTAGATCTTTCGCTCATTCAGATGTCAGCTGAAACGCCTCCTTTCTCTAGATTGACTTTTCTAAAACCTGCATCACTGACTACCAAATCTTCCTGTTTTATTACCTTTTACAACACGGAGAATCTGAGATCATTATCTTTATATGTATATCATCTGTCTTCCTACACATGAACGTAAGTTCTCTGAAGGCAGGGATCTTTCTTGTCTTAGCCATTGCTTCCCCCTGACCAGCTATGACAGAGCTTGCTATGTCATAGGTACTAAAAAATTACATACGGCATTAATAAAATGTCACTCTAATTTCTGGGAGGTAGGTTGACATTCAGAGTAGTGAAAATCTATTAATGAAAGAGCCACCTTGCTATTAGATATGGGATCAACTTTGACTTTTGGCTTTGGAAATAAAGATTAACTTGGATGAGAGTGAAGGAAGGATGAGATAAGAGAGAATGACAAGAAATTTACAATGAGGAAGTACAAAAATAAAAATAAATAATACAAATAATATTTATATTCAACAAATGTTTATTGAGTGTCTACTAGGATAGGATTCCATACATCTGTTTTATACCTTCTCTTGTGTAGCACAATTATTAAAAATGTCCTCTTCACCCTTAAAAGTATTCCTACTTGGATGTTAAAGAATATGCTCCCCTTAACTATGGGCTCTTCTCTGTTCTAGGCAATGAGAACATTGCACAAGAGAGTCCCTGATATCCCAGAGCTTACTGCCTAAGAGAGGATACATCCTTCAAACTAATAGTCTGCCAATAGCAAGATCCAATAGTAAGAAGTTCTTTGCTTTTCAGTTTTCAAATCACTTTTATGTACGTAATCTCATTTGATCCTCCCATCAATTCCATGATGGAAAATATTTATAATTGGCTTTTAAAGGAAGAGAAAACTGTTGCTGGGAAGTTAAGTGACTTGGTCAAGGCTAATTAGCAGCAGAGCCAGGACAAGAACTCAATAGGAAAATGCCTGCATTCTAGGGAGACTTTAAACTTTGCTCCAAAGAATGAAGGAGTTAGAAAAAATGCTAATTTTTATCTTACCTAATGAGGCTTAGAGTCTTTCCAGACATTTTTGTAATTCCTCTTGCTGTTATCATCTTGAGGCCGACTCAATGCCACCTCTGCAGATTTTTCTAGTAGAAAAAGATTATTATTTTGGAAAGGATTTCCTACATACTTATTTTCAGTAGCATTGTTTTGCCTCATTCAAACTAAAACCAAAACTCCAGCTCTCCAGTTTGCAGAATAAGCAGCAAATAAATGTAGCTAAGAGCTATGGTACTGGTCTCCAAACATAATCCCCTAGTGAATCATGCTTCCAAGTGTCTACACTGTTGTTGTGAAATCCCCTCTTCTTGAATCTGGGCTGATTCTGTGACTTGTTTTCAACTAATAGAATGCAGTGGAAGTGATGCTGCATCCCTCCAAAGCTAAGTGAACAGAAACTTTGCTACAGTGTCTTGGGTCTTTTGGATTGCTCACTTGGGCAAAACCACAGGCTATATGAGATATCTGACAGACCTGAGACCACGACACTGTGAGGAAGTCCAAGCTACCTACACTGAGAGGCCACATGGGGAGAGAGGCAGAGGCTAGCTGACTCCCAACAGTTCCAGTCATCGTTGATAAGGTTCAGGCTTGTAAGTGAAAAGGCATTTTAGACATCCAGTCCAGTTTTGTCTTCATTTGATTCCAGCCCTTGCTGCCATGTGATTATAATTTCTTGAGAGATCCCAGTGAGACCACTCATTGAGCCAAGTTATTCTGCAGAACTGAGAAAGAAATAATCATAAAGTATTGGATTTAGCCACTAAGTTTTGGGGTGGTAACAATAGATATGAGAACAATAGAATAGACTCTAGAGTCTGTGGCCTTGGGTTAATTCCTCCTCTTACTAGCTTTGTGTTCTTGGGTACACTACCTGATACTTGGTGACTTAGTTTCCTCATTGATAGATGGGTGTCATAACAGCATTTGCCTTATAGGTTTGTTATAAGGATTAATTTAATTTATTACATGAAAAGGAGAGTTTGGCACTAGAAAGCATTCAATAAATAGCTGTTATCACTATTAACTATATCTGTCAATAAATCTTATTAATCCATTCAAATCTGTGTTTTTCTTAAAGGCTTCATGGATATTGAAAGAAACTGAGAATCACATTTGCATACTTCTGAGTCACTTGGAAACAAAAAACAAGTACAGTCTTGGATTCTGAGGGAACAAACATTAAAAATCACATTAGGAAGAGAATTCATAATGTAGGAACTCATCCTGGAATATTCTTCAGCAAAATACAGACAATAATAATAATACTCCATGAAGCTACCATGGATATTGAATGAATTAATGAATCTAAAACCCTCAAAACCTTGCCTGGCCCAGAGTAAGTACTCTGTGTCTAGTTTACCTATTAATACTGTATTATTATTGTCCTCTATCTCACAATCTTCTTCCCAAGAGCCATCTCAGGATTTTCCCACCATTCATTAGAGACCAAGTGGTCTCTGCAAATGCCCAGGCTCCTGATTCCTAGTTTTATATGGACTGCAAAGCGGCTCCTCGTGCTGTTTTTAAGTTCCTTGACCTCCATAAGCTCTTTTTAGTGATGCTCAGAAGCTGGAACGGTTGAGTTTCAGATATAGATTGGAGAGCTTCCTTACTAACTCCAATAAAATAGCTCAGAGTTTGGCTCTCACTTTTAAATACTATGCAGATGGCGCTGAACCCCAGCCAAACTGGCGGCAACTTGATTTCCTCTGGTGAGTGCTGGTGGGGTGTCTACAGGATGGCATTCATTCCCATCTCCCGTCCCTTCTTTCTCCTCTCTCTCCTCTCTCTCATACACACACACACACTCATACTAGCATTCTGTATTTTTCCTTCTAGCCTGAGTATTTTTTATAATGACATGACCAGCAATAATTAATAAAATCATTGGTTTCCTGCCTGAACTTGTACTTATGTTAGCTATCTCATCGTGTGGAAATTTTCCCTTCAGCGCCAGATCAATAGCGTCCCCTTTGTGATTCCCCACTGCCAGGAGAGAAAATGTTCGCAAAAGGAGATCTAAGGAGCTTCCTACCGATTTAGAAGAGACAGAAGAAAGGACACTCTGTGCCAGCTGTGAAAGAAGCTCTTATATGCTGATAGGAATGTTATGAAATATCTGTACATTTGGAGCTTGTTTTCATGAGCCGTAAAACGTAACCGCATGGAGTGGATTTTTGAACACTCTTAAAATAAACATAAACTAGGCTTTGATAAAGGGACCCCTTTTTGTTTGATTTACTGTTTTCCTATAACAGTGTAATATTTTTGCATGCAGAAATGTTGTAGGCTCAAGAAAACATTAATCAAATAAAGTATGTGTAAGTGTGACGCAGGCACACCAGATGTACGAAGGGCCTGCAAGTGAACATTCCGGCACTTGTGCTAGATAATAAACCCTTTGGCCCTTACACGCAACCCCTGAAAATGAAACTGTCTAGTTACCCACATTATATTGGGTTTCTGTATTGATTTTTAGGCTAACGTGAAAAATTGAGTAGAATGTTATCTTATTTTGCTTTGGAATCAGAGAATGTCAGACTTGAAATACGCTTTGAGGGACCATTTAATGTGACCTCTATCATTTGGTTTTTAAATATTTTTAGACTTTGGAATAGGTTTGGATCTACTACTCAACTGCTTTATTACTTCAGACCAGTTATTTAAATTCCCTGAAGCTCAGTTTCCACATCTTTGAGATAAGCATTATAATTTCTACCTTGTTGTGATCTTCAGTATAGAAAGTACTCAGCATCCTGCCTCATATAAAATAGGTGCTCAGGAAATGGCAACTATGATCATTTTCTCCAGTAGATAAACCAGTCCAGAATTATGTTGTCTAGACTGTTCTTTTTCATGTCCAAGCAAGATCTTGATGATTTAAAATTATTCATTTATTTTTGAAAGGAATAGTTGTATCAAAGTCACAAATGTTCATTTGACAAATAACACATAGTATTTGTCGGAGGACATACAATTCAGAGCAATAGTCACAGCTTTCCCCAGGCTGCTTGCACAGAGAAAAAGTCAACCATTTTCATTTTTAAGTTCCCTATTGACTATCTTCATATCTCTAGATAATTTTTTTTTTTACTTTTTAAAATTTCTAGATTCAACAACCTTATGCCACATTATTGAACACCTTCTGTGAAAGGTGCATATGTCGCTCACTGCATGTTGACCTCTCTCAATCCTGTTCTCAATATTTGTTAATTAGATTTTCATTATATATCATTATATACTTATATTCTTTAGTTTGTTATATTTATAACTTTAAAAATACACTTAAACTTCTATTTCTTGTTTCACTAAATTTTGACAATATTTCCTCACTCTGCAAACTTAATGATGGGAGTAATTTTGCCCCGATCTGCCACATCCCATATTCTGTCAGCTGCACTTTTGCTTTTATATTCTTGGGGTTGGTAATGTTTACAGTTTATCCTGCAATCACAGCTGAGAATTCTTATTCCAAGCTTTTCTATGTTCACCTAAAAATTTAAAAATGAATAGTTAAACATATACATGCATAAAATAATTATATATAAATATATATTTCTATATTAATATATATTCATATATTAATATAATATCTTTTTATATATATTATCTGTGAGTTTGTAAATGTTATTCCCTCTTGGGCCAGGTCAGGTCCAATGTCCCAAGCCAGTAGAAGGAGACTATTGCTAGCATGAAGATCAAGTGAATTTTCTTTTCTTGTAATCAATTAGACCAGCCATCTCCAACCTTTTGGCATCAGGGACCAGTTTCACGAAAGATAATTTTTCCACAGATGAGGGTGGCGGTGGGGTGGTGGAGGAGGGTGATTTGGGGATGAAACTATTCCATCTCAGATCGTCAGGCATTAGATTCTCACAAGAAGCATGCAACCTAGATCCCTCACATGCACAGTCCACAACAGGGTTCCTTCTCCTATAAGAATGTAATGCCACTGCTGATTTACAGGAGGTGGGGATCAGTCAGTAATGCTTGCCTACCACTGTGCGGGCAGGGGGCCTGGGACCCCTGCATTAACCACATTTTTGTTTGCATTATATTTAGTCTGAGACTTTCTGATAAAAATGTTCTGACATTTCATAAAGTTTTGACTTATCGTTTCTACGTAATTTACTTTGAATCCTGAGGCTTATGTATGCTCTTATTAATTATTTTTATCTGAGAGCTACTCTTTTCATTTTATGAAGCTTATCCTTTCTCCTCTTACTCTCCTTTGGCAGGGTTTCTCTCTACGACATGCTGTATTGCCATTCCTCAGGATTTGTCTACTATTCTGGGATGAATCTATAGCTTACCTCTTTAATATACAGAAGTATATGTTCAGCTAACTTTCTGAGAAAAATGAAAGGGTTTAAATTTTGTAAGCCCATGCATATATGTATATGTCTATAACTTCCCCTCATACTTGGTTGGTACTTTAGTTGGGTATGGAATTCTAGGTTGGAAATAATTTTCCTTTGGAATTTTAAAGGCATCGCTTCATTGCCTTCTAGCCTCCATGTTGCTGCTGAAAGTCTATTGCTTATCATATTTTTCTTCCTTTGTAGTTATTTATTGTCTCTGAAAGCTTTTAGGATTTTCTGTTTTTTCATTTGGATGTTCAAATGTCTCAAAAATCTGTTTAGGTGGTGAGCCTTTTATAATTTAATGTGCTGGACACTTAAGCAAACTCCAACTGCAGACTTATGACTGCATTTAGTCTGGGAAAATCTCCTTTATTAGTTCCTTGATCATTTTTACTTCTACTTTGCCCACTATTTATCTCTAGGATGCCTATATTGCAAGTACTGAACTAAATATATATAGAGAGAGGTATGTGTGTATGTGTGTGTAATATTTTTCACTAATTTGTTTTCTGTTTGTTTCTTTGTTCTACATTCTGTAATATTTTCTTAACTGTATTAATTTTCTAATTAAAATTTTAAATTTTTCCAGTTAGTTTTCATTTCTGAGAGTTCTGCCTTGGTCTCTGATGAAGACTTTTTTATTGCAAACCATTCTTGTTTCATGGATGTAACATCTCTTTGGTCTCCTTGAATATTTGCTAGGTGTTATATGTTTTCTTCCATTCCCTGAATTATCTCTGTTCATCTTAGTCTTTTTCTTCCATGCTACTGATTCTTCTCAAATATCTTGTTTTGCCCACTTATATTTTAAGAGGAAATACTATATATAGAATGGTGTGAGTTTCCTCTACTGTTCTATATGTAAGACAGTTTTCCCATTAAGTCCCTCTAGTAACTGGTGATTCTATGTGAAGTAAAGTGGAATAGGGTGAGTCGTGTCCTTTAGAAAACTTCACTTTAGAATGAGTGGGTAAAAACTCTTATTGACAAGTTAAGAACTCTCCAAATTCTAGAACTACAGCTGCTCCAAGAACCAATATCTTCACTTGACTCCTCAGCTTTCTACTGGCATTTTCTGCCACTTATTTACAGGAGCCCTTTCCCACCCTGCCCTCCCCACCCGCCGATAACCTTTTTTGTTTTTCGGCCTGGGAGTAAATGCCAACTGCTTGATGCAATAAAGATGCCTTCAATTAATTCTCAATGTTTCACCTCGTTTATAACTCCTTCCCTCCATAGAATTTTTGCAATTCTGAACTATTATAATAGAAGTCTGTCTATTATTTCAACAGCTCAGCATCCACCTTCTCCACAGATTTGAAGATAGAACAGTCTTGGGTATAGTGTTTCTCCATTGTTTCATTTTTTTTTTTTTTTTTTAAAGTCTAGGTTATATGACAATATATTCTCAGGGAATATAGTTGACCACAGTGTGTGCCCAATTTACCTTCTTGAACTAGAACTAGACTTAAGGGTTGAAAATTTTAACACTTACCCAGTTCTTTAAAGGATGGCTCAACTTAGTCACCTAAATTACAAAATTGTTACCAGGTTGAAGAACTCTAATTTTTTAATCTCATATTTACAAGATATAGGATCAAAACAATCTTTTTTCATTTTCTGCAGCTTTGTGAAACATTATTTAAAAACTACAATGCATCAATATGGATCTGTAAAACAAGTTGAAATCTTTACAGAGAAAAAATATTGATTAGATTTTTCAAGCCCTATACATCAATAAGCATAACCTGAACTTATTTAAATCTATATCTAGTTTTTTTCATAAGAATTCTCATGTAAGAATTGTAATGCTTGACAAAATTATCATCAACTGGTGAAATCATAATGGTAGGTTGTATTAAATTTGAAACTGGATAAATACTAAAAGAAAAAAGCTCCATTGGCCAAATCTACCTATCTGAGTTAGGTAAAATACCTATTAAGTACATGTATGAATGAATGCATATAAGAAGCAGTATGAATTTGTCATTTTCCACTCCTTGTTCCAGTTAAGAGACAAGCAAATTTTAAAATTGACTTATGACTTTGTTAGAAAATGTAAGCATTATTTGGAAATCTCAGTATCACAAGAGAAACTTTTTTTTTTTTTTTTTTTTGAGACGGAGTCTCGCTCTGTCGCCCAGGCTGGAGTGCAGTGGCGCGATCTCGGCTCACTGCAAGCTCCGCCTCCCGGGTTCACGCCATTCTCCTGCCTCAGCCTCCCGAGTAGCTGGGACTACAGGCGCCCACAACCGCGCCCGGCTAATTTTTTGTATTTTTAGTAGAGACGGGGTTTCACCGTGGTCTCGATCTCCTGACCTTGTGATCCGCCCGCCTCGGCCTCCCAAAGTGCTGGGATTACAGGCGTGAGCCACCGCGCCCGGCTCACAAGAGAAACTTTTATGTGACATCTGAGTTAAACTTTTCTAGCAATTGAAGTTCTCAAAAATATCTGGCCAAACTTAACTTACTTCTTCTTGATAATGGGGCCTGAAAAAGAAAATAACATATGCTATTTAAACTTCAAAATTAACAT